AAGGATGCCGGCGGGTTTAGATTCATTATGCTGCTCACGGGACGTAAGACACCTTTTCAGAATTGGCAGTTTGACGGCGTGGCCTGGCCCGATCTTCAGAAGATCGGCATCAAGCTGTTCAAGATGGCGACACCCTCTGCAGCTTCGGAGCGCAACTTCTCAACTATGGGCTTCATACACAGCAAGCTCAGGAACAGCTTGGCGCCCAGTTCGGTGGAGAAGTTGGTCTACCTCAAGAACAACTATGCGGCGTTCGCCGAATGCAGTTATATGTTCCATGGCGATGACATGGACTCGTCAGAGGAGGAACAGTACTGATCTGGGAGTATTGCGAATAAAACCATGAGGTTTATTAGCTTCAAATCAATATTTATTAGGTTCATTAGGGTTTATTAAGGTTTGAACCTTAAACCTCAAATTCGTATCTGAAAAAATGTTTCCGCCCGTGCCATGTAGTGGGTCACTAAGGGGCGTGGTACTGGCTGTTGGTGGAGAGGGGCATGTGGGGACACGTCACCCCAGCCGGCTGGCAAAGCACGTGATGAGCCGGGGTGAAGGATATAGGACAAATGTGACTGAGGGGACACGGGAAACATTGCCCAGGACCTTCTGCAGGGTTAAGGGCGGAGCCAGGCAGGTGTCACGTGGAGGTCGGCCCAGGACCTCCTGGAAGGTTCTAAAAGTGGGTGTGGCCGAGGGCAGAGCCAGGCCACGCTGAGGGGCATAAAAGGGAAGCCCCGAGGCTGAATCAGAGCTGTCTACAGGTGGAATGGAACCCGAGGTGCTACGTCTACGACTCCGGCGTCATGGGTCAGACAGCATGTTGGCTGCTCTGACCCGTAATTAGTTATCCCGTGTGTAAGATAGATAGTGTAGAATAAACGTTATTGCCTCCTAAAATAGTGTCTCAGAAGTGACTCACTACACATGTAATGACTATAAGAACATATTTTACGAAATAAATAATTCCTCATCCCTAGCCATGATCAATCCACTACTGGAGGAAAGTCTCCACAAACCAACTCTCATGGTCTTGCGATGCTACAATCCATCTAGCATCAACACACGAGCTGATATCACTACTCCATCTCTGCAATGAATATCGTCTCAGTCGTGTTTTCCTCTTTTAGCTGCCACTCTGTCATGAGTCTTGACCACCTGCTAACATGTCTTAGTTTCACAAATATATTGAAGTAAATAACTGCAATACAAGAAACAGGCCTCTCACATGTAACGGGGTCGACGGTCTGCAACTGGTTACTGATAAACAGACACGCACAAAAAAAGCAACAAATAAACTTCACTTTCACTTAATTTGACCTACTCTTGCTCTGGAAGCTAAAGATTAGTATATACAGTATACCAGCTGGCTGATGAAGATAACGTGTGGTTAACAACTTTTCAGAGAAAATGAAACAATGACATCTATTCTTGGTTAAGAGAGGGCTTTTTAAATGACCCAGGAAGTAGTTCTGTGGGATCATCTTCCTGGGTCACTCTGACACTGACGACCTTCTGACGTTTAAAACTGAAGTATGTTTACTCTATTCCATTCCATTTACTTTGATGGTACAAGCGGGATAAAATAAAAACTGAGAAATCTAAAAAAAGATGTAGGGGATAAAGCTATTGATCACATTCTCCAGGTTATTTTAATGCAGAATCAAGTCACCCGCATGTGGGTCTGCTTTAGAATTAATAATTCAAAGGCATCCAAAAACAGCCCCCTTTGACAACCGCTTAAAATTACATGACCATCGCCGAAATTGACGAGCAATTTGCATCAAACCACTTAATGGAATGAACCGGCAGCTGCCCTTACCACTGCTGCTGCGCCTGGCTCGAGGGTTTAATCTGGATGACATTTTGTTTATTCATCAGAGGACTCTCTCTGCTTTAGCAAAATCCAGTCCTTTGGCTGGATAACCTCATGGCTAATGCTCACCTTCTGTTAACATCAGCAACAGCAGCAGACATAGGCACATGATGATAAAAGGCCTCTTGGCTGATACTACAAACAGCCAAGCAGACCAGCGAAACCATGTGGGATCTGGAGCCCTTGGTACCCACGTAGGAGAATTAATGTAAAGCACCGTGAAGGTTCACAGTTCCCACCCTCTGTCTGATAAACACCACGGGGCGTTTATTGTCAGTGCGTCGAAAAGTGGCCCTCAAAACACGTCGTTACGTCTCTCGCCAGAGTAGGCAATTGTGCGTCGGCGTAATAACCCAATTTTGAAAATTACTCGCAATTATCAAATTATGGTAAGAGTTCGTATAGCGATAGAGTGCAGATGCTTTGCTTGCATGCTTGCCAGGCTGATGAAATGCCTGCACTGAACTGGGAATGAATCCTGGAGCCATCAGCTCTGACAAAGCAATGTAAGTGGCTAACGAAGGAATGAATAAGTTAATAAGTACGTCGACGACACAAAGCGCAGAGACTGCGTGTGAGTCACTCGGTTTCCTTGCCCAGTAACAGAGCCTCAAGCAGCCATTGGTCTTCGCGCTAGAAATGGACAATCAGAATTCTGATGACACGAGTCAACACTGCAGATTCATGCCCTTCACCGACAATCGCTCATTCAAACGATGGCTTGACAAGAGTGGCTTTTAACAGGCAACGTTCTGAGAATCTCGTGTTCTATCGTCAACATGAACCACCCGCCCACTAACCAGCCATCCTAACGCAACTCCTCAGTCACAAGCGCAACAACAAAAAATGCCTTCAAGTTGTCCTAAGTCCATTGTAGAAACTGAGCGACTTATCCGGAAAAAAAAATGACATTAGTTGAAGCAATGAACGACAGTTTTGTGCAATGGAGAACATCGATAAGGACTACGTTTTGATTGCAAGTGTCATTATCACACATACACCCCCTGCTAAACTCTTCTGAAAACTTCCACATTGTAAAGTTTTATTGGTGAGCTTGAGCAAGGCTAAATCCAGAAACGCATGTCAGTTTTAGAGTCATAACTGCCAATCAGTGTTTTCATAAGCTGTTCAAACAGATGCAATCAACGTCATTCTGAGAGGCAATTGTTATGTTATGTAAATATTAAAATCGGATAAGATTGTTACATTTTCAACAGACAAGTATACTTCTAGACAAGTATCTACTTATATGCAGTAATTGAACTACAGTACTGACAGGCAGAATACAGTACGTGGGAGCAGATAAATTGACTCGTGCCACAAAGCATGTATAATTAAACACGTCTTGTTATATCCGTCTCTCGATCCGCTGCTGGATGAAGGCCCCCAATACCATATCAGCCATAAGGGTTGTTTGACCATACTTCAGCACGCTGACCAACGCAGGTACCGAATCAGTTTAAACGTAATTCGTCACTGATGTTGGAGAACCAGGTAGTTGATAAAAAAAAAATACCTGCGTCAACATGAATGTGGCAGAACAAGTTCCACATTCGAAAATGTACCTGGCATAGTAAATTCCAGTGTCCAGGTACACGGAAGCTGCATACGACTACAGTTATACCGACTAGTTTGTCCATAAGATACACTCAGTTACACGTTTACTCCTGCACAGTATAAATACACATACTATATATATATAAAAAAATACCTCTCGTGTTCAAAGAGAAAACAAGAAACACAACAGCTCTTGTTAAATGGACTTCTCATTATGTACACACAAAACTAAACCATCAACTATTTTTTTTATTTTACCAGGCAAAGCCCACCGAGCTATATAAGCTTTTATTCAAAAGCGACCTGGCCACAAATTATAGCCCAATGAAGTGGCTTATCATGTGTAAATGGAGAGCAACCACATACCCTAAACGCGTTTCTGAACGTGGAGGGAATAACCGGAGAAAAATCCACGTGACCACGGGGAGAGACACGCAAACTCCAAATGATACCGCAGGATTCAGGGTTGGGATAGAGCTCACAACCTCCTGCATACCAGGCGAGGTAGTTAACATCTCACCACCGTGGCACCCTTACGAGATGAGATGGCAGTGGTCCAATGGGTTCGGTACACAGACAGATTTGGTCCACTCACTGGATTGAATCTGTTGATTGAATCTATCTGTACGGAGCTTTGAGTTGTTGCGGCCTCTTGTGCGTGGTGGGGATTTCTCCAGGTACAAAGGTTTTCTCTTGCACGGTGCATGATAATACACGTTGATTGGAATTGGCTAAATATCCCAATGTAACAGAATCCTCCTCAAAAAGGCCTTGAGAATCTGCTTGGCTTCCCAAGGTAAGGCAAATCATGTAATTATTATGTACCTAATTGCTTATAATACCTTTTTGTAATATCATTTTCCCTGTAATCTTTTATAAACCTGGCACAAAACGGCTAAACGTGTAATACCAATAATATTATAACAAGTAATAATGCTTCTTAAATTCTTAAACAGAATACTATACGTACTAATCCGTATATTGTGAAAATGTCACTTAGTTATCTCAATCTTGACACACATCAATCTTGACATAAACACAACACATTACACACACTTAAAACGTACAGTACTCATTAACTTGCTAAACACCGCACAAACACACGTATAGCAGACATACGTGAAATCTAAGTCACATAAACCAACATGCTAAACATGCGCATACGACTTTTTAAACAAAGTTCCTATACGGGTCAGAAGCCTTATCCAAAATAAAAATTTTTGTCGATAATGCGCAGCAAAACAAAGACATTCCGTGCGTACAACCTCACACACAGACACATGTTTATGATGTTTATCATGTTGTAAAGCGGACAGGTGTGTGTCTGTTGTTGTTGTTGTGACCTGCAAGTTGATGGTGTTGTGATCGTAGTGGATGAGTGGATGAGTGTTGTGATCTGCGTTTGAACACACGGTGGATGTAACTGAAGAGTCCCAAGTGCCTGCTCGCCCTAATTCATCAACGCGAGTGATATATATAGATCACCGTGTAGATACACACACACACGTATACTGTGGAGTGCGAGGTAGGCCGCAAAAATCACCGTCGCTCGGATGAATGCCCCTACCTGGTAAGGCGGCGGGGGCCCCGCGTAGTCGCGGAGCTGCTCCCGGTCCCCGCCGCCCGTGCTAGCGGCGTCCGAGTCGTGCAGCAGCGAGACATCGTCGAGCGAGCTGGATTTCAGGCAGTTTCCCATCCATTAAGGCTTCCCGACGGAGCTGAGAGGACTTGAGGACTTGAGGAGGAGGAATGTGGCAGGTTCACGAGCGAGGAGGAGACGGAGTGAAGGTGGTGGTGGTGGTGGAAGGAGCGAGCAGGAGGAGGCGTCACTCCATGGCGGATCGCCGGCGACACTGAGCGGGCGGAACCGGTTCCAGCCAAGCAGCAGCAACAACAACAACAGACGGGGAACCGGATGTATTAATAATTATTGTTATTATTAAGTATATTTATAGAATTATAATTATATCATACTTTTATTATAGTATGTAAATAAATAATAATACACATGTTGCATGGTATTATTTTATAAGTATTATATGATAACATAACAATTATATATTTTATATATTATTAAATAATTATGTATTACAGTATATATAATTGCTATATAATAAAATTATTCTAAAGTATATTTAATTTTTGAAATATAATACTGATATTATTACTAAATATTATGATATGCAATTAAATACTAATTACATATTGCATTGTAGGAATATATTATAAAACAATTATAATAAAACAATGTATAATATAATTCTTATTTGGTTCTTTCGGTAAAGTCACGTAGAATGAGAATAAAATAATAAATTGATAAAATAACACAATAATATTTTATCAATTTATTATTTTATTCTCATTCTACGTGACTTTACCGAAAGAACCAAATAAGATGAATCATTGCAGTCACGAAAGCTTTAAATCGAAATATAATATAATTATATAATCATTCAACATACAGTATATAATCAACAATCTAATTATTTATTTTATCTCCATATATAAAATAAGCAAAGTTGTGAATACGTGTGTCTGTTCAAAATGTTTAGCGTACTTCCCGACATGCAGCAAACTTGAAATTTGCCATGTGGGTACTTTCCAGACTGTACACCGTGCAACAATTATAAAAGTACATCTTAGTGTTGGAGGGGAAGCGTAACGCAGTGTAGTGTAGTGGTTAGCGCGCTGCGCTACCACCCCGCTGACCCGAGTTCGATTCCCGCTCACGGCCACCACCGGTGACGATTACTTTTTTTACCGGTCCTGGGCCTCCCCTAGGTCGACTCAGCATCAAACGAGCCACTGCTCTGCTGTGGTGAACATCGCCACTGGGGAGACAAAGGCAGAGGGGCGTGGTGAATCCAAGTCCCGGGCATAAGCCGGGTAGTACAGCTAGTGTTTTATAATTAAAACCTGTAATCGTTACTAATAAAGGTTTTTGGGTTACATCGTCACATAAACAAATGAGTGAACTACAGCAAACACAGGGTTGTGTTTGACAGTACACCGCACGAAGTCAACACGTTTCATTTACAGACAGCCGCGACCCCAGTGCGCATTGCTTCTCGGAAACGCTGGGGGCGAGTCTCTAAGGGGCCGTCCATAAATGACGTCACGAGATTTTTGACCCCCCCACTCCCCGCCCCCATCGTCACACGGCGTCACAGAAAGTCAGAACCCCCCCCCCCCTCAAATATGACGTCACAATGCTCTGCCTCCCCCCCAAAAAATATATAAAACATGGTTCAAATCGCTTTAAACTATTGTTCATTGTAGCGCGTATTTAATGCGCCGCTGCACTCTGATGTTGTAGGAGAAAACATTTATTAAAAAGTCTATTTAATTAAGTAAAACGTGTTGTCTATATTTATTTAAAGTTGCGCATTTTGATGTGACGTCACATTCCTCACCCCCCCTCCTCACACATCGTCACAAATATCTGACCCCCCCCCTAGGTGCATGACGTCATTTATGGACGGCCCCTGAAGGGCCGCCAACAATTTGCCCAAGTTCTGTGGTCCTTGATATACGGTGTCGTTTAAAGGTGTTTCACCGACTCCGTCGATGGTGTGGGATGAGGAAGGCGGAGGACACGCGTGGCACGTGCGATGGGGGTCAAGTTGGCCCAGATGTCTTGTGACCCCCGATTAATTGATCCCTAACACGTTTCCCCCCCCTTACACCCTCCTTTGGATGTGCATGTCTGTTGTAAATAAACCTTACGTTAAAAAAATATATGTCTTAGAGAATTAAATGGGGGGGGGGGGTCACAAGATATCTGGACCACGCTGTACGTACCGCTGTCATACCCTGTGGTAAGCTGGGGGGGTATATGGCGACCTCGGCGCCCGCGGGCAAGTGACAGAGCTTCCACGAATCTCCGCGTGATCCACCAACCCCCAGCGGAGCCCGGATCCGAGATTTAAAAAAAACAACAACACGGGAAGCGGATCGCCGATATCCGCGGGGTGCGTGCGGCCGTGCCGAGTCGCCCTCCTCAATCCTCACCGCGCCTCCTCAATCCTCACCGGAATGCTTCGCCCAGACGCGTTCAGCGTCACGGGCACAAGGCCAAACATCGGTGGCCAGGTGTGGTGGTTGCTATGCACGTGGCACTGTCACGCAGCACTGCAGGCGAGACTCGCTGTCTGTGCGTCGAGATGTCATAACCCTGGCTGGCCAGGAGGTGGTACAGCACATTGCCAACGCCCGTCTCTTCCATCCATCTGTATGGGACAGACGAGTAGCGGTCCCCAACCTTTTTGGCAGACAATTTTTTATTTTCACGGACGGGGATCTCCAGCGACGTTTGTGGGTTTTTTTTGTACTAATTTTGGCGAGGGTTAGCTTTATTTTTCAGTTTTCAGTTTATTTATTTTGGTGTAACCCTGTGAGCCATTCGGCTCTTGAATCGGGTGCGACCACAACAAACAAAAGCAAAAAAAAACGAAGCTTGTGGGCTTACCAAAACTGTGACTGAGACAAGTGCGCAGTGCGGGAAAGAGGCGCGGACTCACCGCTCTCACCTCCTGCTGCTGTGCGGCCCGGGGGTTGGGGACCCCTGGGATAGAGTGTTGCCCCCTTGCATGCATGCACGCACGCGCGCGCGGCTTTTCTACGCGTGTTCCAGTTTCCTCCCAAATGTAAACACTCGTGACATGGCTGCAAACATCTTAATATATAGGGGGCCGTAGAGCTCTGACAATTGTTGGTGCTCACCACATAACGATGCAATCAATGCCCGATCCACAAATATGATGGAGACATCACAGCGATACTCTGCTGCTACTGACGCGATTGTCTTGCTTGATCACCTGAATGTGATATCGTAGTTGTTGCTCTGCATCTACATCAGGCATACGAAAGAAGACCGCATGGCTGCAGCCTTCCTGCTTGTTTGTAGTTGCACGTGCACCTTGAGTCATTCACTCTGTTCGCGAGTGAGCGAATACTGTGCGGCACATTACAAGCTGAAATGGTGCTTTTATCCGTAGGCTATCGTGACCAAATGCTGATTCATGATTGATTTTGTGTCAGATCAATCTGCATAATGGGTTCAGTTCAAATATGGATTTGATCTACTCACTGCATTGAGTTTGCGGATCGAATATGTGCAGAGCTTTGAGTTATGGCCTTGTAAGCATGGTGGGGTGTTTGCCAGGTCATACGATTTTCTTCCACATTCATCATTTTTGTAACATCTTAGTTGAAACAGTCGGGTGGCTCAGAAGTCAGGGTACTGAGCCAACACGACGGACATCCTGATTTAAAATCTGGGTTTCAGATTTGCGTGATACAAAAGAACGTCATATTAACATCGGCTTTAAACTTAATTTGAGAATTAAAAATGTTTGCAATGCAAGAAACAACCTCACAACAGAGAATGTGGTGGAGAGTTGAACACATAAAAAGCACCAGTTTTGAAGAACCTTTAATATCTCTTATCGTCATATTTCATATATAGCCATATTTTCCTGAATATCAACTTCAAAAGCACATTTCGAATTAAATAATAGGACACTAACATTTGAAATATATATTCTAACTTAAATTAGACAATATTGACCCTGACCTAAATATTACATGTGGTCTCCAACAAATGATGGAATACAAGCCTCTATGGAGGGTTTGTAATCCAGACGACTGCTCACAATTGCCATTTTGCAGCCTCAAAATCACCCAGAGCAGTGAAATGACCCAGCGCTCTTTTCCCTCTGAAGTAACAGCTGTTCGCTCGTGGCCATGCTGAATGCTGCTCACAAGGAAACTCGGACTGCTTGCTACATCAATTGTACAAGTGAGTATTTTTTCTGCCGATTCAGCAATGTATTTCAAGAAAACGGTCAGAAGCATATACCAAGTACAGTAACAATTAAAGTAGGAGGGAAAGTAAGTTCATTCCATTGATCTTTGAACCGTCTTCCACATTTTTCCCAATAGCATTTGTTCAATAAACAAGACAAACGTACGCTGCTCCCAGTGCATTGACATTCACACCCAAAGTGGTTGCTCTGCACCCACCAGATCATGGGAGGGCATTGCCTATTGATTTCATGAGAATGCATGTTGCTGACGAGACGGGATAAAACCAGACTCATTCCAAGGCTCCTGCCCATAACGTCAGGGCTTCCAACCAATGAAATTGATTTATGAGACACCTTTCTGCAAAGAATTGGTTAAGTTACACGGGGGGAAAAAAACCCCACTAAGTTGTTGAAATACATGCTTGGGTTTGTTTGATCCTGAAAACCCACAGCACAATGTATTGAATGAAGAGCAACAGAAGAGTTATACCGGTGACTTGGTCCAGCGGTGCGTTCGCCATTTGTTATAGAGGTTTGCGGTTTCGATTCCTGCAGGCTGCCCTGGTTAATATTGCAGGAGTGGGTGGTATAGATCGCGTGACATGAATTGAAGAAAAGTAGGCCATTGTGTGCTGGTGTTATAGTCCAATATCATCCAAAGTTGGATATTACTTTATTGGGAAACACATGCAACCTGCGGGTGTTGTTTAAAAAGGAATTCGGAAAAAATGTCTCTTCTTCATATATTGGTTGCCGATCCCTGATCATGGGAGTCCAGTTTACCATGGGCAGGGGTCGGCAACCTGTAGCTCCAGAGCCATATGCGGCTTTTTAAGGACTGCTTCGTGGCGCTATTTATTAAGGATCACGGTCTCGTTTTTACACACAACCTCTTGAAATATTGTGCTTTTTTACCGATTAAAAAAAATGGCGCTTCTTATTTTTGTTGCTGACCACTATACATAAGAATACCATAATCTTTTACTGTTGTGTGAATTTTACCTGCAAAGGACAGCCAAACGTGGAGGGAGTTGTTTTTTTCCTGTGATATCCATGCAAAAAATATTAAACAGAGGTGTAAAGTTTTTCCAATGATCTTTTGACTCAGCATAAACACATTTTTCTTGTTTTGTTAGTCTTGTTAGCTTGTTGTGCACGCTTGTTTTTCTCAATAACCAAGCAATGCTCAGTGACGAAATATTCTGGTAACAGTTAATGAGCATCTGGATTTACTGCAAGGTCACATTACTCAATTGGCAGCCCGAAATGTCCAGTGATGATGACTCACGACCGTTTGCAACAATGAGTGGCAAGTGCCGTGTGCAGCTGGGTCCGTCGCATGAAGCGCTTACATAGAGGGGGAGCAGTGACACAGTGGTAAGAGCAATGCGCTATCAAACTGGCAGAATCCTGAGTTTTAATCCTGGCCATGGCTAACATCAGTGGGCGGAGTGACATCTCAATCAGTCCCCGACGCCCTTCCACTCTCTTTGCCAATCCACACTGACTAGTGTGGTTAAAGTATGGTAAACCAACCTCACATGACCGAAACGGTATGAGGCCTTCGTTTAATGGTGGATTGACAAATGGATGTAAATATCAATTATGTTCAACACACTGTGCTTTAATCCTCACAATCTGAGTTAAACCTCTACTCCCACACACCAGTGGAAATTGGCATTGCATGGATGCCTGTCATGGTGGTGGTGAGGTAAAAGTCACCTCTATGGAGACAAAGATGATGCACTCCCAGAAAGCCTTGCAAGTGGTGGGCTTTGTAAGAAATCTTGTTTTTATATATACGTAGAGACAGATATGTGGAGACATGTTTTGCCTGTTATTTATATTTTCCAGAACGTATGTATGTTGAACTTCTTTCGCTCAGTACGTAGCCAAATGTGTTAATGGGAGGTGCGGAATTTAAACGTAGGTCGCCGAGTTCGTAATTCTTCACTTGCTTATCATTGAGTTACGTATGATATAATTTTGCATCTCACTGGAACCTCATACATAAGTTGAGGTGTCCTTGATTGTAAGTTGTGCATTTCATCAGCATTCATTCAAGTGTAGTGTGCTAATTAACAGACACTAGTAGGAGATACTCTCTCTTATTCCGGCCTTCACAGCCTTAGGGGATGACTTGGCTGTCCGGGGTCGGGACAGCCAACATACTGCCAGACCCACAGCTTGAAGAGGGCGAAGATCACGACGACGAAGAGTTCCATTACAGATCGCAGCAGCCCCGATTGTGAGTTGGAGCTCGCCTTTAACCTCCCCAGCGTGGCCAGGCTCCGTCCCCCCCCGCACCCTTCTGGATCCCCCAGAGGGCTCCCTGCCTTGCCCACCGGTCCAACTGGTAGAACGGGCTGCTATCCCTAATTCCATTGTCTACCAATCTCCCAGCGGAACGCGCTACAGTGACTCATTTCATAGTCACTACACAAGCAAGCCTGACCAATGATGAGACACTGTTTGTTGAGTCCGGTCAATAGTTTCCTTGTTTTGAAACAATGCTGCTGAAAATATGCCCTTCTAGAAAGCAGTGCGGCTGATGGGTTGTGTGATATAGTTGCTTACATAGAGAGATGGTTTTGTGAAGGAGAGGTATTGTCTGCATATTTTATTTATATTTACCACAAAGATGCTCGTGATTATTTTCAGTTATCCACCCTTTCGGTCGACACAGCGTTGATTGGTTGATCCCTGCTATGGTGGTGGTGAGGTTGTGGGGAGCGGTGGTGCAGCGTTAAGCACACTGCACTACGAACCCGACTACCCGAGTTCAATTCCCGCTCACAGCCAACACCAGTGACCGGTCTTGGGCCTCCCCTATGTCTACTCAGCCTCAATTGAGTAACTAGTGCGATGTGTAAAATAATTTGCTGCTCGGGAGAAAAAGGCGGCCAAGCGTGGTGCTGGCCACCCACCCCCTCGTGTTCCATTCCAGCCTTCATAGGTGCCCGCTAACAGCACTTGGCCTAGTAGTCTGAGGCTATATGGAAGATCTTTGTATTTTGGTGGCGAGGTTTTATGGAGACAAATGCAAGAACATGGGTGATGCTGGCCACACAACCACCCTATAATTTGCTGCTTTATTAGCTACTTGCTAAGTGTTTTCATTTGAATGAAAAAAAAATAGCATTTGAAAAATGTGCTCCTGCTTTCATTGTTTTCCATTGTAAGAGTGTACTAGACAATGTGCTGGGTTGCGTGTGTTTTTTTTTTAATACGAGAAGTTAAATGGGAAATGTGTCGCCTTGGGGAGGCTTTCATCCAGCAGCAGTGTTTTGGTTGCACTAAGCTGCACCTGACTTCAAGGCTGCAAAACAACGAAACTTTCGGTCAGGAATAAAGGCAATTACACGTCACACGTGTTTGGCAGCATGCGGTGAGGATGTGCGCGGTGGGGATGCAGGAGTTTAAAAAAAAAGGAGCTTTGGAATGCGCAACTTTATACGCTTGAATGAACGATCTCTTGCATGCGTGAGTCACACGACAAAAAGTCACAAACCTCTCTGGCAAACAGCTAATTTGAAAACAAGTCAAGAGACCGCGTCCCAAGTTTTCTGAAGAAGAAAAACACACAAGGCGAATAGACTCACAAAGCAAAGTTGCTACACGCGAGACGAATGAACAGAGCAGCCCAGCACTGGCAACGTGACAATCGCTGTCACGACGCCTAATTTAAAAGTCCAGGCCACTTCCGGCCAGGTGGCGCTGTGCCTAAAGCACTTGCCTCCTCTCAATCAGATCGTGGACAAAATTATAACTTTGTTGAAAGTCAATAAACATTGACATGAATGGACCGGCTCCCACCATGAGAACGTGTACTTCTCACCAATGGCTTAAGCGGTGCCAGGTTAAGGTTTCTTTGCCAATGGGATGCACTCCAAAGAACGCGATAGAGTCTTGCATTGCTTAATAAAGAAGTCAATGTTCTTTGTTTTTCATGGGCCCCACTGGAGTTTTGGCCACTGGACAAATGCCCCACCCCCATTTGCCCACTCTTTTCCCCTGCCCCAAAATTTGGCCCTGTGCTTTACAGCAGTCACAAGCGGAGACATGCGCTGGTCCTACTGCTGGTTTGAATGGGGAAAGAGTTCAAGGTGCAGCCCTGCAATTGCTTGCTCGAGGCACTACTGGTGGAGAGGCCTCGAGTAGAGGGAGCTCTTGAGGTTATTTGGCCAACTCTTCCACAGTGGCCAGAAAATTTGGAAGAGGTGGGTGTACCCACACTGTACCCCACCATACACAGCCTGTCGATCGTCTCTTGCGTAGCCATGTATACTGGTGGGTGGACACAGACAGGGGTAATTAAGAACCCTGGCCATTGTTCTAGCTTTGAACTGTCTCGCCAGTGTGCTAACCATGGTTTGAGTCGGCATTTCAAAGCAGTCAGAAGAATTTCCAAACTCCATTCTTCACATCCCCCCCCACCCGTTCTCCACATCTTGATCTCTCATTTCTGTTTACCAATGTCACTTAAAATGCAAATTAAGTTGTTACACATTGCACGTGCCTAATGAATGGCAAGATAAAAAAATTTCATTGTAATGGGGGTGTCAACTCCCAAGAATGGAATTTAAGGTAACCCTAACATGGTTCACAAGAGAGGTGACTCACTCCTTAGCACTGTGACCAATTTCAATTGGTGGCTTAATCATCACACACCCCACTTCCTTACACATCCACATCTCAAGGAGTTCCCCTCAGTGACACAAGCAGTCCCCACCGAATTAACGTAAACAGTGAATTAACACGGGGTTCATATCCACCGCCTCCCACCAAATAAATCTGAATGCGCCCCAAGATGTAGTGGCCGAGTTGTTGTTTTTTAACTGGTGCTGCGTGGATAGTGACATCGTGGAATTGTTAGAGGTGTCAGCGGCTTGGGGAGGAGAGCCTTCATTCAGCAGTGACTTGACAATGGCAGACTATGGCAATGATGAAATACATTCCAGCTATCTTTGTAAATATTTAGGTAACATTTTGAACAGGCATCATCAAACACCAGTTAATTATTCACACCTTTTTTCTTCTTGGTTCTTCCGGTAAAGTCACCACGTAGAATGAGAATAAAACAATACAACAAAATAAGACGATACAATTCTCACGACGTTTCGGCCACAACACAAGGCTACTTGTGTTGTGGCCGAAACGTCGTGAGAATTTGTGTCTTGTTTTGTTTTATTGTTTTATTCTCATTCTACGTGGTGACTTTACCGAAAGAACCAAGATGATGAATCCTTGCAGTCACGAAAGCTTTAAATCGAAATTTATTCACACATTTGTTTTTCACTTTGTGTTCGGACCATCGGAACCTGCCTTAACAATGTGGAATTCACCTCTCGCCCAACAGCAGAGATGAGGACAGAGACATTTCCACAAACTGGGAGCTGGAAATGTAAACGTCAGTTATTTATACATTTTTTTACAAGGAATATATGCAGTACCTGGGCCCGAACCCAGTCAATGTGGAGTTTCTATTAGCTCAGGGCAGCCAAGGTTTTAGGGTTGCTGCAACTTGTCCTGGTGTTTTGCAGGTAGCCGTCCTGAGAAATCTCTAAGTCTTACTGGGACAGCTGTGTAATAATGCACCATTAAAGAAATTGACGTACAGTTCTCCCCTTTTCCGGTATCGTGAAATATTACCTTTCATCCCACGGTATGTTCGGGCTTTTATACCTCAGAAGTGGCAACCGTAGCCAGGGCAGATGAGCACCCAACCAGCACTCATGCTTGAAGATACTTTGCACTTCTGCTCTCAGCTCCTCTTGCCTGTTCGCTTAGGGACGGTATACATTTTTGTATCTTCCAGCCAAATCATCTTTGCATGAAGAAAATATCGACCAAGATCACTCGGAGGGCCTCCCTGTCCCCACTAGAATTGTCCTCTTTTTTACGTAGCTGTCCTGATTGATCTGCAAGTCTTTGTGGAACATTTACAACGGACCACCCACCGACCCACCCACGGCACATCACGTCCCCCATACAAAATTGTACAAGCAGAAACGTACGTGCTGATGGGGAGTGGCGTGAGTGTGCAGAGGCAGGGAGGGCTTTCCGCTATATTGTGTGGCTCAAGTGAGTTGAGGACCGGTGAGGGGTGAGGGTCAGGATGGTGGTGAATGTCTGACCAGGGTCAGGTGAGTGCCATACGAGTGTCTTGTCACCCTGTCCATAGGACGACCTGCTTGTTAGTAAAGTATATATATACACACACACATAAGTGATGAGTGATAGGTTACATTTGTTTGAGATATTGGATTATTTTATTGTTCGGCCTGAATTTAAGATTTTTTATTTATTTAAATGTATTACATTGTAATAACACATTCATTGTTTATGAACCAATTGTAATTATTGAAGTATTTGACATTTTTATAGTTTCATATCTTTTTTTCCACAAAGTTACATCAGTCTAATAATTCAACCGTAACAAAGAAGAGTGTTATATTTTCATAAATTAAGCAAATGTGGCATCACCCGTAGGGGGCGATGCAGCTGTGGTTTTACCCAGTGAGGGAGAATGTAAATTCTCATTTGGACCACGACACCTCCACACACAATGACCTACATAATGGGAGTGACATCACTTCCGGTTACCTTGCAGTTTACAATCAATCCGAAATTAAAACAAAAAATTCCGGATCATTCGAAATGTCATATTTAGGCCAAATTTCTTGGGTATTTTTGGAAAAAATCCAAAATCCGGTCACGCATCCCTAACATGCACTTGCACCTATTTCCTGGCCGTCGCCTGGTTCGCAGGAGAGGTCAAGGGGGTCATCTCTCCATCCGCACTGCAGCTGCTACCCCCCCGGGAGTCACGGTCGATGAAGCTGTCAGTTTCGCACGATCTGCTGTCGTCGTCTTCGTCATCTTCGATGAAGTGCAGCGTGGCCACGGCGTCTGACGGGGCGCGCCGGGCCGACACGTGAAAGCTGCAGCGCGGCTCGGGGGACGCCCGCCTCCACTGCGAGGCGTCGCGGGCGCACGTGGATGGCACCGTGGCGGTGGTGGAGGCGAGCGGGGCCAGCGGGTGGTGGGGGTGGTGGCTCGCCAGCTCATGGTGGGGCTCCCTTCGCACGAGAGGAATGATCTCGCACGCCGCCGAATCAGTGCAGTGGCCTCCGTGGCTTGATCCCATCTGCGGCGAAAACGAACAATAAAAACAAACATATTTCAGCGGCCATGAATTTAAAAGTCGTTTAGGTTTTCACGTTTGTGGCTGTGTAGCTCTTTCACGCACAGCAAGTGGGTTTGTAACATTTCTGTTTAGAAGGTAATTAATAAGATCGGCTGGCCTACATCAAAGACCTGCGGCAGCCGGTGACTTAATACAATCGAGGGAGAATGTGGAATAAATCCATACAATTCCTGGAGAAGCTGCCATCACAAAGGACAATACGTCAGATATCGTGACAAAAAAATGTGGTACAACCCGAACACACATCGCAGAGATGTTCAGTGGCCTACCTCTGACATTCAGGATCTAGTGGTCTTTGGAAACCTCTCTCAAACTGGAAAAGACTGGAAATTTTCTATTTTAAATTATAGATGCTGCCGCGGTGTAATGGTTAGCACACCGAGCTTGCAATTCAGAGGTCGTCGGTTCGATCTACTGACACGGCATTTGAAACAAAGTGCCAAGTTACTTAAATCTCCCCGCCTGTCCACGCAGCAGAACACACACAGGCACACTACAGCTAGTCAATTGGCATTTAAGTTTGGTGGGGTAAAGTGTGGACACGCCAACCTTTCCCAAGACGTCTGGCCAGTGTGGTAGAGTAGGACAAATAACCCCCCCCGCCCAGAGGGACTCTCTTGACCTCCCTCTCATGGAGACCCTTCTTGCCAGCAGTGAGGCGAGCAATACATTGCAGGGCTGCACGTGAATATTTTCACCTTTCACAACTAAACTCACAGCTACAGTTGGTCTTATTTTGTTTGCTTAGTGAGACTTAAAAATTGTGGTCAAATGCATATTTACATCATGATAGCCCTGACATCACTCCCATACATTTCAATAAAAAGTCCATGCAGTATGCCTAACCTTCAAGTTTTTTCGGATCATTGGCAGGCGCCAACAAAGAGCTCTCATTTGGCTTTTTTAACAGACTGTTGGGACAAGTGCTGTTAGCGAGCACCTAAGAAGGCTGGCACAGCACCATGGTTCAAATATTCTCCACTCAACAACTCGGGTGGCCGGGTTCGAAGCGCAGTGCGCAAACCGCTACACCATCGCACCCCACAGGGGGCCAACACACGACATGGCACACACACTCTTGGGTTTCCCACAATGCAGCGCTCATCTCCTAGACCTCCGGACAGACCATATGCTGAGTGGAACTCGCACTCCCCTTCGACTAACAGTCTAGCAACTAGAGCAGAACGACCTGGCAGGCCCGACCCAGGCACCCACGCTGCGCACACCGCGAATACTTCTGCCCCCACACGACACCGAGATTTTCAAATCTCGATTGCTCGGTGATTGACCGAGAGCCTCTCATCATCCCTTCTCAGGGGTGGATGAAATGGGTGCTATTGCCCTCTGGGCGAACCCAAAGGTGGCCTCCAAAAGAGAATGTGGATTTCACCCGTGGGTGCTTCGGGATCAAACCGATCAGAATATTTATTTATACTGCAGGAATCCGATGAGCTATGAAGCTCTTTTTCACAGATGTACATTAAGGGGCGGTTCAGAACAATACAACAACAAACACTACAAAAAAACATAAGAGTGGAAAGTATAGGAAAGGTAAACACATTTAACTTAAAAATATATACAAATAAAACCAAACTATTTTTTTTTATCTAACCAGGTAAAGCCCACTGAGCTATTAACTTATCTTTCAGAAGCGACCTGGCTACAAATGACAGCTCAACAAAGTGACTTATCACGTGCAAATTTACAGCAGCAAAATAATAAAAATTAATGTTTCTAAATGATGCACGGAAGGAACTGACATCTTCTACTCTTAACATCCTGTCGAGGTTCCTCTTGTTGTGTTACCTTGTGCTACTCGACATGAGTTCAAAGTATCAATACTGTACTGAGAATTAGTGGCGTGGCCCGTCGAGACCGCAGGCGGTGCAACTGCACCAGGGCCTCATGAATCAGAATCTTTATTCAATACTGGAGGAATGCAATGAGCTACAAAGCTCTTTTTCACAGATGTCCAGTAGGGGCGGGTCAGAAGGTGACAACAACAAACAGTACAAAAACACTCTAGGAGTTCAAAGTACAGTGAAAGCTTGGATTGCGAGTAACTTGGTCTGCGAATGTTTTGCAAGATGAGCAAATTTTTAAAATAAATATTAATTTGATAAACGAGCGATGTCTTGCAATACGAGCAGTACGTACAGTACACGCTTTGTCTGCCGAGCGTCACGTGATCACAACCGAGCCAATGGTTCTTCTCTCTCTCTCTCGCTGCGGGATTGTGGGTAATCATCTCCCATGCTCGGTCTCAGTCGGCGTGCCTCACTCGTATAGTCAACATCCGTGCGAGCGTTTACTGTATACTATAGTACTATAGTGTTGTGACCACGTGTATACTGTTTACTACAGTACTATAGTGTTGTGACCACGTGTATACTGTTTACTACAGTACTATAGTGTTGTGACCACGTGCATACTGTTTACTACAGTACTATAGTGTTGTGACCACGTGTATACTGTTTACTACAGTACTATAGTGTTGTGACCACGTGTATACTGTATACTATAGTACTATAGTGTTGTGACCACGTGTGTACTGTTTACTATAGTACTATAGTGTTGTGACCACGTGTATACTGTTTACTACAGTACTATAGTGTTGTGACCACGTGTATACTATTTACTATAGTACTATAGTGTTGTGACCACGTGTATACTGTTTACTACAGTACTATAGTGTTGTGACCACGTGTATACTGTTTACTACAGTACTATAGTGTTGTGACCACGTGTATACTGTTTACTATAGTACTATAGTGTTGTGACCACGTGTATACTGTTTACTACAGTACTATAGTGTTGTGACCACGTGTATACTGTTTACTACAGTACTATAGTGTTGTGATCACGTGTATACTGTTTACTACAGTACTATAGTGTTGTGACCACGTGTGTGTGCGTAAAGCATTTTTTTATTGTGTCCAAGTGTAATGACTGTTCTTTAGTAACTGTACTGCAAGTGAAAGTCGTCCCACACAATAACTATCCTCCTCTCCTCTCTCTCGTCTCCCTCACACCAGCCACGATTAAATGTAATTAATAAATTAGATTACTTTATATTCAATTGAAATAATAAAAATATAAAAAGGTACTTTGTATTAATAATTTTTACATGAATACAGTATTTTTGGGTTGTGGAACGAATCATCTTGAGTTTCCATGATTTCTTACGGGGAAATTCGCTTTGATATACGAGTGCTTTGGATTACGAGCACGTTTACCGGAACGGATTATGCTCGCAATCCAAGGTTTCACTGCATAAGAAAGGCAAGCGAACAAATAAAAAATAAAAACGGAACTTTTGTTTTATGTCACCAGGTAAAGCCCACTGAGCTCTTAGCTTCTTTTTTTCAGGAGGGGCCCAGGCAGGCACTGGGCTACGATGAGGGTGGGGGGGTAGACTTTAAGCAGGGGGACTCCCCCCCCCCCCCCCCCCCCCCCCCATTGAATTGCTTGCACACGAGGGCTCACGCCAACCACGCCACTCGATGATAGTGAAATGCCACAGTACCATTGTGACGTCGGACGTACTCGGACACAACTACTGGGGTGGTAACAGTGTGCTCAGGCCCGCGCGTGCGTAACCCACCGACCTGAGCCGCGTTTTCTAAAACTCTCCACAATTGTGTTTTAAACAACAAGAAAACCACAATTCTTATCGGGGCAATTTTTTGTTGCTTTTAACTGTGGGTTTGCAACATTTGCCTAACTTCTCACTTCCAAGAATGTGCGTGGGAACATTCACCGAATGAAACCACAACGCAAGAAAAGGAAAACGTTTATACGAAAAAGGCACCCCGATTAACTGGAACTGCGTGTGTGCATGGGCGGTACAGGACGTGCACCCGCTATTCTTACAAATTTCCGGAAGGGTGCCCTTGTGCTTCGTTTGAGTACAACATCATTCACATAAATGCTGCCAAAATCGCACCTAAAATCCGACGTCGCACCGAGGAAGAGTGGGCGAAACCTTTGAGTTGTTGATCCTGAGCTCTTCGTTGTTGCAGCCCTCTCCTCTACGACGTCGCCGTATCCCTCACCTCCTCACGTCTGTCATCTCCCCACATCCCCTTCCTCCAATCTCCAGATAATCCAAAAGGCGGCTTCGAGACTTCTCACACGCCACTGTAAACTATAAATAATAAATACCACGTCGCTCGATCCTCCAATCCCTCCACCGACTCCCAGTCCGATTTCAGGTCGATTTCAAGGATCACCCTCGCCGTCTCTTCTCACTCTACTAATCTCTAGAATGTTTCACTCGAGCAACTGAGGCTTTCTGTCAAAGCCCTCAACCGTTCGCTCAGTGGGAGGTCACTTGTTCACCTCTGCTGCCCCCGTGGTCTGGAACTCCCTTTCACCAGCCAACTTTAAATAATAAAGGATTGTCAATTTTCTTATTATTTTTGCCCTGTACCTCGGAGGTGGCATCCCTAGATACGTTAGGCAATTTAAAGCGAAAATCTTGAGAGCAGGTGGATTGATGCAGATGCCTGAAGTGAATTAATACATCTGCCGCAAACGTATCTTTGACAGAGAAGGTACAATTAAAAATGTGAAAAGTCAACTATCAATTGAACCAGTGTGGGTTGTCCATTATGTATATATATACGTGTTATTTCTAAAGCCACATAGTATTAAGGCACGTGCTGAGTGTTTTTGCTCTTTGTACGTGTGTACCACTGCCAATGCAGAAACGTCACCGAGTAATGGGTGCTGTTATAAACATAAAATATGGGTGCTTAAGTAATTCCAATCAGCGCCCACACATGCCACCCTAGATCCCGCCAGTGAGATAACAGCGAGGGACGCTGGACGGAAGTGGATCTTGGCTTTGCAACTCGGCATAAATGTTGTCCTTCCCGCGGACATTCCGATTATCACGGTTGGCTATGTATGGTGCGAAATAAGTTCAGCACACACATATATTCATAGACTCACACAGAGGCCCATAGTTCGTTGTCCTTCCCCCGCACCTCCGATTAGCACGGTTGGCTATGTAGGGTGCGAAAGAAGTTCAACACACATATATTCATAGACTCACACAGAGAACCATAGTTAGTTGTCCTTCCCCCGCACCTCCGATTAGCACGGTTGGCTACGCACGGTGCGAACAACACGTTCAACATACGTACATACAGGGTCACGCATCGGCTCAGCTTGGGTGTGCAAGTGGAAAAGGGGTTTCATGGGGAGTGTGTCCCCTGAGGCTCGCGGACCTGCTGCAGCAGCAGTCGCGAGTCCATCTTGTGGCCGGGCTGCTTCCTCCACCTCGTTGTCAGCGCATCCTGAAGGGACTTTAGCGTGCTCTGCAGATCTTTAAAGTAGTGTCTGCACATGACACAAACAACAACAACAACAACTGCCGTTCGTCTGTAAGTGGTGGTGTGATCATAACAGTACTTGTGTCAGGCTAGGTGCACCTTGAGGTTATGCGAAGTGTCAAGGACTGTGGGTAGCTAGCACCACGCCCGGCCGTCTTTGTCTCCCTCGTGGTCGATGTTTACACACCGCAGCAAGTACTCATTTGAGGCTGAGTCGACCTACGGGAGGCCCAGGATTGGTTCAGATAATCATCACTGATGTTGGCCGTGAGCAGGAATCAAACTCGGCCCGCTAGGTTCGTTGTGCAGCGCATTAACCGCTACACCACCGCTCCTCACACACACTAACACAAAGATCCCCCGTATAGCCTGTAACAGACTGTTGGGGGGCAAGTGCTGTTAGCAAGCACCTATGAAGGCCAGCACAGCACACGAGGGGGTGGGTGGCCAACACCACGGCCGACCGCCTTTGTCTCCCTAGTGGCGATGTTTAACCCACTGCACCAGGGACTCATTGGAGGCTAAGTCGACTGAGGGGAGGCCCACGATCGGTTCAGATAAATCGTCACTGGTGTTGAATCTAACCCGGGCCGCCAGGTTTGTAATGCAGCGAGCTAACCGCGACACCAACACATGCAACACACGCACGCTGACAGATACACGCGTGGCAAACATGCACACGCATGCAACCCACACGCACAGAATTTGCGGAGCTGCCGTTTGTGCCAAAAGCGGGAGGATGGGAGCTCACCTCACTCTGACGAGCAGATAGACGATGCAGGCGAGCAGAGCAATCAGCAGCACGGCGCTGGAAATTGCCAATCCGAGCACATTCCAGCTCACGTGCCCCGAGGCTGAAATGCAACGTTGCGACGACGTAAACACAGCAGAGGCTCCCTCCACGCTCTCTCCAGTGGTGTACAAGCGTGAGTGTCACGGGCCATGGTACTAGGAATAAAATGACCCTCCACGTAACCCACCCCACCTGCCTCTGTCTCATAACACTGAGATGCTCATTAGCAATGGTTTAACTGTTGCATACCCTGCTGATGAGGCTCCATGAAGTCGAAACCAATCCATCAGCGCCTCATTAAAAACAACCCCCATGACTGCCACAGCATGGGGAGTCCTTCATCCAGCGGTTGATAGATGCATGGAATAATAATAGCACTATATTACTAGGGAATGATACGGATCTTTTCTATAAGAGTGAGCTCGTTGTCACCGCAGCAGTGACAAACCAGCTCAGACTCTGGAGGTCTTAGATTAGAATCCGGGCCAGGTCAATGAATCATCCTTCAAGGGTCAATAAAAGACGTACTACATTGTGGTAATCTTACAATGTGATTTTTGGTCTTTGTGACGGGAATGAGTAATTGAGCAACCAGGAAAGATGTCACCAACCAAGTCAAACTTTAGCTGCCTTATAATTGTACAGCCATTTTCATTTCTACCAGTGGTTGTACTCGCTTGCTTTCAGCGCGCCATCACTTCCCTCGAACCCCCTGCAGCATAACAAAAGGCGGCTTAACTTAGCCCCTCCCCATCCACGTTCCTTCCTGGCTCCTCCCCCCCCCCCCCTTAACCTGTATATAATCTCGTGTGTCCCAGAGCTGTTCACTTGATACAGCTATTTTGCTGTGACTGTTCCACCTGAAGACGGAAGCTTGTGTTGCCTCCGAAACGTCGTGATTTAATTTAGTTGTTTTCATTTATTTCATTTTACCTACGTGACTTTACCGAAAAAACCAAAGAGTACGAGTAATTTCCACCAGTGGCTCAGGACCACCGACAGAGATGAGCTCATCGGAGCACTGAAGCACTTTCAACATTGGGTCAACCTGTTTCTGCGTGTGTGTGTGTGTGTGCATGTGTGTGAGAGTGCGTATATGTATGTGCAGTAGTGTAGCTGTTAGCGTGCCGCGCTACAATTCCAGCGACCCAAGTTCGATTCCCGCTCACGGCCAACACCAGTGACGATTATATTAACCGGTCCTGGGCCTCTCCTAGGTCAACTCAGCCTCAAACGAGTATCTGATGTGGTGTGTAAACATCACCACTGGGGAGACAAAGGCGGCTGGGCGTGGTGTTGGCCACCCACCCCCTTGTGTGTCGTGCCGGCCTTCATAGGTGCTCGCGAACGGCACTTGCCCCAACAGTCTGTTACAGGTTATACGGGGGTCTTTGTCTTTTTTTTATGTGTGTGGGGAGCGGTGGTGTAGCGGTTAGTGCGCTGCGCTACGAACCAGGGGAACCGAGTTTGATTCCCACTCACGGCCAACACCAGTGACGATTATCTGAACTGGTCCTGGGGCTCCCCCTAGGTCGACTCAGCCTCAAATGAGTACCTGGTTCAGTGTATGAGCATCACGACTGGGGAGACAAAGGTGGTCGGGCATAATGCTGCCATGCTGTGCCGGCATTCATAGGTGCTCCCTAACAGCACTTGCCAAAAAAGTCTGTAAAGGCTACAACGGGGGGGCATTTTTAAGTGCTTGCCACAGATGAACCATAATACCTTGCTGATCTGGTCGAGGAGCATAAACAAAAAGTCTGTTAAGACTATGCGGGGGATTTTGTCTTTTGTGTGCATGCGTCCCTCCTCCTACTGATAACGACTTTCAACTCGCAGGATAAAAAAAAACATTCGTGGTCGTGCCATGAGTGTAATGCGTCAGTAAATTTACTGCGCAGAGTTGCGAGTTATTTGTGGCAAGCATCGCTGGGGCGTCGCCACGCACTGTAACCTCTTAGGAGAAAGATTAAAGTGCGTTACACTGCGGCGGCGGTTCGGTTGTAAAAATTCCACAAACAAACAAAACGGCGACCGGGTCGTGCTCATCTCTGTCGGTTACTTCTCAGTCCTGTCTGCAAAAAGTCCACACTCCTACAATGAGAACCATATTGTGATGTCGCGTTTGAATCACTTTGGCGAAGCGTGGCCCCTTGTCCGACTCTTCGTCTGAAATGTGCTTTGGGTGGTTTACTCGTGCAGTCTCAGTGTAGCTGATCCACGATTGTAAAAAAAAAAAATTCTGAAGGAGAGACATCTCATACAGGGTCAAATAGATGTCTCGAGTCTAGACTTAGTTCCACGTCCCCTAGGTCATTCCTGGAGAGATGACATCCTAGAATCTCACCCAAATCCAGAAGAACGCTAGCGAGCAGAGAGGAACGCATACTTCAAGAATAAACGCCTCATTAGAGACCCAAACATCACGCCTCCAGGCTTTGGCATTCCTCTTCGAAGACATTGGTGTAACCATCAACATCATCGGAACATCAACATCTCCTTCATAAATGGGAAAAAAATGCGACAAAAGCTACGGTAATACAATTGCGGTCACGAAGCCAAAACTATGAACCATACAGTAAACCACGGTAGTCTGTGCTCCTTCAACAAAGGAGGCATCACAAAACTACACCAACTCTCTCCTGAAGCCCTCTCGTGGTTAGCAGACATCATCATCGCCATCGAGCTCCTGCACACATTGCTACTGACATACACAAGAACATAAGAGAATTCCCGATGGGAACTTCTGCTGAGATTGAGGACAGGCGTATCTCTACATCGTGACCTTGACGGTACAGATAGGATGTACTGCATTGTCTACTATCATGTTTTTGTACTCTACTATCATGTATTTGTACTGTTTGTTGTTGTAACGTTCTTACCCGTCCCTACTGGTCATCTGTAAAAAAAGAGCTTCACAGCTCATCGGATTCCTCCAGTATAAATAAATATTCTGACTCAGCCAAAATAGTGTACAGTACAGATTTTGTTTTTGTATACGTATGATGTATCTGTGTGTGGGCGGTTTTGTAATGCAGTGGACCGCACTAGCAAACTGGGGACCTGAATTCAAATCGCAGCCACTGCTAACATCAGTGGTGAGTGATATCAGAAACGGTCCGAGGGTTTACTCAGCCTTACATGAGTGGCTGGTATGATGCATAAGTCCAATCACTTTGGAGGCAATGGTGACTGAACATATTGCCGGCCAAGCCACCCCTTTGTGGTGCCGGCAAAACTACCCCTTTGTGATTGTCGCAAATAGTAATTGTCCCAAAAGCTTATAAAGGCCATATGGAGGATCTCGGTCTTTGATTTTCTACTTTGTAGTGTGTATGCGTGTGCTACTGCACTCTAGAGGCCAAGTGGCATGGCAAAGGTTCTTTGGCAGGTCAAAAGACAGACGCAGGTGATAACGATGAAAATGCTAACAGACCAGGGTGTCTACCTATTAACCTTTGGTCCGTTCCGTGACCTCCCTGCGGGCCGTCGATGCTACAAGGTGGTCTGAGAGTACACGTAGCACTGCAGTGACACCACCAGCACGTTGCGGTAAATGCCGGTTATTACTGTTTTGTGTGTTTGTGTGTTTATGCGTGCATGTAAACTAAATGCTCTTTTGACCATAATCCTAAAAAAGTACTTTTCTATTTTTTCATAAATTCATGCAGTCCAATTAAATGTTCAACATTCATGGCCACGGCTTAGGAGTTAAGAACCATTTAATAGATTAATACCACGATGATGAATTTGCACAGCTGGATAGGCTGATGGTTGGCATGCTCCCACTGACCCAATTTGTACAATGGTTTCCCACTCAAGCCAACCTGGAACATTTTTAGCCGGCCAGGTGGCTCAGTGGTCGAGTCAGCGGTTCCCCATCAGAAGGTTGCGAGTTCAAATCCTGGTTGGGTCAATACAAATAATACCACTTTTTTACTATGGAATGTAGAATTTCCACCATTGGCCCAGGGCTCATTTGAGCAGGAAATCATTTTGATATCTTGTAATTTTAACAGGAAATTACCATCAGCAGATCGCCGGTTTATATCGCAACGATAAAACTATTGCAACACCACTTCACCCCAAATGCCTCTACCCAGAGCTTTCAGCCGGGTCAGTCTGGGTCAGCGATCCGGAACATATTTCCACACCCTGCACACGACATTCTGTATATCTCTCCTCACTATGGCTGTGGTTGTGGTCACTTGCCACCGACTCCAGTCGACTAGTAACCTGGAAAACATCCAGTGAGAAATTAAGCCCATGCCTCCACTATTAAAGCTGGTAAAGGCGAAGCCCTTCAATTGTTTGCTCATGCCACTGCTGAGAATAGGGCCTCCATTCCTGGCCGCTTTAGAGAGCCTCTCTAGAAAGCATTTTGGCCTACTCCTCCACTCTAGCCAGGCATCTTGGGAGTGGTGTGGACACCTATACATTATCCCACCACACACGAACCTGTCGCTCAACTGGTTCCACGATTATCAATTACAAAACGCTCGTAAATGCATTGCCTTGAGTGGTGCATTATTATAATGCAACTGACAGAAACCAGCAATTTTAATTAACAGATTTCCCAGGACAGCTTTCTCAACAAGAGGACGACCTTAGGAAAACCAGGAGAGGGCCAGAGCAGAAGGTAGTACAGTACCACATAAGGCAGCAGAACTTCAGAATTAACAATTTATCTTGGTGGCTCATGAGAATGAATCACTTGATAATCACGCTCGTTTCAGTTAAATACTTTTGGCCACGTATAAGAAATTGGAACCGCTAAAGTTATGCTGCAACACCTCTGGTGACACCGACAAGTGCAAAGGTCAGCAACCTGCGGCAGCGGAGCTGCATGTGGCTCTTTAAGGCCTGTAACACAGCTCTTGAAATTCGAAAAATAATGGCTGTTCTTGATATTTTGGTTGCCAAGCCATGACCATGGAAGTCCAGTTCACCATGGAAGTTCAGATTACCATGGGCAGGGGTCAGGATCCTGCGGCTCCGGAGCCTCGTGCGGCTCATCAAGGACTGTTTGCGTGACGTTATTTATTAAGAACCGTCTCGTATTCACGTGAATTGCGGCTCTTGAATTTTTACCGAATTGGTGAAAAAAAAATGTCTCTTCCCGTTGTTTCGGTTGCCGACCCCAGGGCCGAGTGCAATACAGCGTCCTGCACTGTGCTCGTGGACCACAGCGATAGCTGCCGCTGCTGTAACTCACAATGGCCAGCCTGGTGTTCCTGGCAGAAGTCGCCGATGTGGGATGGCGAGCAGAGACAGCGGAAGCCCAGCAATCGGCGATTGTCCGCAACGCACGTCGCCCCGTTCTGGCACGGATTCAGGTCGCAGCCCACTTTCACCTCGTCCGCATCATCTGTGAAACGCAATCACCACCACCATCATCAGCCAAGATCATTCCACTGCTGGATGTGGGCCAACTCAAATCTCTCACGAACCTGCGATGCAACATCCCCCATATAGCCTTTGCAGACTGTCGGGTCAAGTGCTGGCTAGCGGAATGGCACACGAGGTGGGTGGGTGGCCAGCACCACGCCCGACCGCCTTTGTCTCCCCAGTGGCGATGTTTACTACACACAGCACCAGGTACTCATTTGGGGCTGAGTCGACCTGGTGGTCAGGTTCGTAGGGCAGCGCGCTAACCACTACACTACCGCTGCCCGTCTAATCCAACCCAGCACACGAACTGATGTCATCACTCCCAGCTCCTCGTTGGGTGTGCTGTAGGGACGCGTTACAATGCCTCTGGCTGCCCGCACTCCGCTATTATTCTTGACCATCGTTCGGAATCCCTTCAACGCAATGGTTCTTCATCGCAAGGCCCGCACGATCATCATCATCATCGTGCTGCTGTCAATCACCAATGGTTTAAAATGGTGTGGCGGTCGTCACGCTGGTGGATGTCTCATCGGCGAAAGTGCCCCCCCAGCTCTGACAATCAATGAAGAGCACTCACTGCCTTCTAGCCTTCCAAGTGACTTTTATTAACAGTTTGGAAGATGTCAACAGGCGTGCGTTCTGTCGTCCATACCGCTCCGATTTCCTGTCTCTGAAGTCTAAAGTCAAGCGCCCCAGGTACATCGCTCAATTGTTCCTTTGCGAACACTTCTGCCGCGAGACAAACAAAAAAGTCTGAAGACAAATCTCCAACGCGGAAGCGCAATTCCCTGGGCTTACCATGCGAAAGTTTCGGTGGAAAGAGCTAAAAAAACACATCATCAGAATCATCGCCACCACCACCACCACCACTGCACAGTCTCTCTCCGCTGTTCGTTGGTACCTGCGAGCCTATCGAGCTCCTGTCCGTAGTAAGAGTCCGCGGATGCTACCAACAACGGCGCCAACAGCGGCAGGAGCATTGGAAGCTGTCGGGAGATCATTTGCTGGAGACCAGCTTCCAGACTTGACCATTTGGCGTCGTTGACATGACGCACCCAACGTTGGTGGTGGTTTGGTGAGAGGGGTTTAATGGTGCAATCGCCGGTTAAGTTATTCGTATGCTTGTTTTGATTTCGTTTTAAAAAAAAAAAATTACTCTCAACGGATTCTTCGGTTGCTGTTTGTTTTTAAAAACCTTACGTTGGCCGCACGCGCCAACGCACGTGTTATGCAAGGACGCGGACATTGGCCGTTTATTCGCCCGAGCGGCTTATTCGCGACCTGCAGTCTGAAGTTGGCGCCTTATTCGCGGACGAGATTCGAATTTGAAGGCTCTTATTCTTAGCTCTTTCGGTAAAGTCACGTTGAAGGGAAACAATAAAATAATAAATTTGTATTGTTTTATATATTTTTTATTATTTTATTGTTTCCCTTCAACGTGACTTTACCGAAAGAGCTAAGAATATGAATTACTGCAGTCACGAAAGCTTTAAATCAAAATTTGAAGGCTCTTCCCGCATTCGCCCACCCAATGGGAACAGGCAGCGCGCGCGTGACGTCACTGTTTGAACGCCCAATTGCTTCCCACGTGGATGCCCGGGTGCGCACGTGACGCGTTACACCACTCGGCCGTCACTCCGTTCTAATTCGTGTTTATCGGCCATCCTCCCTTCGAACAAAGTGTCCTGTCCGAGCCCACTTACTTTTCTTAATAGTTTTAATTGTCTCATTAGGGGCCGTCCATAAATGACGTCACGCACCTGGAGGGGGGGGGGGGTCAGACATTTGTGACGATGTGTGACAAGGGGGGGGGGGTGTTGAGAAATGTGACGTCAAATCAAAATGAGCAACTTTAAATAAATATAGACAACACGTTCTACTTATCTTCTTTGGTTCTTTCGGTAAAGTCACGTAGAATGAGAATAAAATAATAAAGAACCAAAGAAGATGAATCCTTGCAGCCACGAAAGCTTTAAATCGACGTTCTACTTAATTAAATAGACTTTTTTAATGAATGTTTTCTCCTACAACATCAGTGCAGCGCCACATTAAATACGCACTACAATGACAATAGTTTAAATCGATTTGAAGCATGTTTTATTTTGGGGGGGGGGGGGGCAGAGCTTTGTGACGTCATATTTGAGGGGGGGGGTCTGACTTTTTGTGATGCCGTGTGACGATGGATTGGGGGGGAATTGCATGCGGGTTTCGCTCGATTTTCGCAAGGGATACGTTCCTGAGATACTCGTAAATAGCAAATTTCTGGGATAATGATATTGGCCTTTTAAATGAATTACCTTAAATAAATACATAAATAACACTGTGTAACAAAATGTGTTGATATTGTTCCTGGGTAGTAAGTGTTATTTTCCAATTGCTTATGCCTCAAAAGTACAGAAAATGGTTATTATTCCCCACAAACTTTGCTTTTATGACCAGGACAGTGATATTTTGAAATGTAGCTATTTTTCAATGAGAAAACGTGGTGTGCATTTGTGTCATTCCTTCACATAAAGTCCTGGTCACAAAGGCAACGTTTGTGGGGAATAATATCCATTTTCTATACTTTTGAGGCATAAACAATTAGAAAATAACACTACCCAGGAACAAAAATCGTGTTACATAGTGTAGTCTTGGTTCTTTCGGTAAAGTCACGTAGATAGAATAAAATAAAATTTAATAAAATACATTGAAAATAATAAAAGCAAAAGCCCACGACGTTTCGATCGCAACACAAGCGGTGTTCATCAAGCGGAGAGAAAAGAGGGGGCAAGCCTCCAAATGCAACTCCTTATAAGGATTTCCAAAGTGAGTGGGCAGGGGACGAGAGCTGGGAGGAGAACTGTGTGACATGAACAGCATGGGCTGGGCAGCCAGTCAGCCAGTGCCAATGTAGGAGTAGACAATGGGGGGGAGAAAGGGGGTAGAGATAGGGGGAGAGAGGGGGGGGGCAGAGATAGGGGGAGAGGGGGGGGGGTCGAGATGGAGGGGGCATTGCACCTCGTTACACACATCCACACTGTTGACGGTAGAGGTTGACAAGAAAACAAATCGAGTCATGACCCAAAGTGGTTGATGACATCTTTCTAATGATTGCTGAGTTTATAACCGTCGTCTCGGTTGAAATTGTGTCTGTATATATGGATGGCTTCGTGAACGAATCTTTGTTGATAGCCAGTCGGCTTGCAAAGTACCATCGTCTTTTGAGAAATTAATTTCATGTGAGTCAGCCGCATTAACGTAATGATCAGCCACGGCAGAAATATTGGTCCTGCCGTGTTTCAGATCTGCCTTATGTTCACGAACACGGTCCGAGACATGTCGTTATTTTGTAGACGCCGGGATATTGCATGCCAGGAATCTTGTCCTTCACAGATGGGATCAGATCACGAATTTTATGCACTGTGATAAATCTGACCTGGATCTTGTGTTTGTTCAAGATTTTGGAAATATTTTTGGTGATCCCTGCTATGTAAGGCAAGGTGATGGTTTTGATTGGATCTTCAGATGGCTCCTTCCTCACGGTTGGGGTGATGGCTTTGCAGATTGTGTAGCCAGAATATCCATTCGCCTTGAGAGCCTGGTGTACGTGTTTGAGTTCACTGGTGAGGTGTTCATGGTCGGAGATACAGTGAATTTGATTGCTGGGTGTATGGAATTTTCATAGTGTAATCGATGAATTACATGAATATTATCACGACACAAAAATGTTATAATACACGTAAAATAAATTAATATAAAGGTATAAAATTAACTTCCCTTAAATTATGATGATGCTGTGAATCATTACTTTATCTCATCACTTGCTCTCTATCTCGATGCAGTCGTGTAGGGTTCCAGATGCGATTCGCAGATAGCCAAAATCGCGGATAGCAAGTTTGTGAATAACGAGTGAATACTACACATACACGATAGCACCAAGAATAAACTGCTTTACTCTAATAATGAATAAATATTCAAAACGGCGCAACAACACTGTATGTAACATTGTGGTGTATGACGTTAGGTGGTGCTGTAAATACCATCAACAAAATACATATTCTACAATATATATCCTGTGATCTGTTCCTCCAAGTACAAAAATGAAAGTAATGGCTATATTCCATAACCCTTCAGTATCAAATTATGGACTCATATTAAAGAGAGGGCCCTTGCCTATTACACCTACTGTAGTTCACCAGGATTGATACGAGCAAGCCTGGCTGCTGATGAGAAACGGTTCTATTGTATGTTTGTTGAACTTATTTCGCACCGTACGTAATATTGAGTCAATGCCACAGAAATTATGCACTCACAGAAGGCAGTTATCCCGATGGTTTCTGTAAGAAACACTTTGAGTTTTTTTTAATGTGGAAGGATACTGTTTAACTAATTTGTTCTTCCAACTCTCAGGAACGATGTGATTATCTGCATAAATAATTGGATAAGCTACAATGATATGTACCGCAACAGGAAGGAATGTGTGCATTGACACATGTGCAGGTGCTGGGCGCCACGGTGGCTAGGAGATGTTAACTACCTCGCCAGGTATACAGGAAGTCGTGGGTTCGATCCCGACCCTGACGCGTCTATATTTGGAGTTTGTGTGTTCTTCCCGTGGTCGCGAGATTTTTCTCCGGGTCCTCAGGGTTTTTCCTCCTAAACATGTGTTTAGAGTATTTGACTTCTATATATTTCCACATGATAAACCACTTCGTTGAGCTATCATTTTGTGTGCCAGGTCGCTACTGAAAAATAGTTATGTAGCTCAGTGGGCCTTACCTGATAAAATAAAAAAATATAGTTTAGCAAAATAAATAATGGTAAACGGATGACAACGAGGGGTATTAACCCAGGGCTTCATTTCAACCTGATCTGTTTGAGTTGGTGATCTGGCACATCACATCGAGTCTGCCTCTCGTGCTAGCCTTGTAATCCGGCCAGGTGGCTCAGCAGCAGCGCCAGCGCCTCACAATCGGACGGTTTTCAAGTTCACATTCTGAATGGGGGCTGACTTGACCCACCACTACGATAGAAAATGAGTACCACTTTGTGAGAAAGTTGTGATACGTTTGTTTTTCGATAAAATAAATACTCGCCCCCGTCATACAAATGTGGAATTTACACCACTGGCTCAGAACTGTAAACAGGAGCTAAGTACCATCTCAATGCAAGCTCATTTCAACAGGAAATCACTGACTTTGTTTTCATACAATTCGTGTGACTACTTCATCCAGTCTACCGGTGACTTGGGAAAATCAGTGAGAAACTAAGCCCGGCATGAACTGATTTGCCTTTGGAAGATAGAATTTTAAAATATCAACACAGATTGCTGAGCTTGGACAGGAGGGCAAACTCATATTTGCGTACGGTGCCAAAGAAGTTCAACATACATACAGTACATACGTGAGATTAGCTTCATAAATTGTAAAACATACCTTGAAGCTGAAATTGATAACGTGATCAGTGTAGTTTGTGCGGTACCCAAATCTAATCTCGGTTGGCTACACAGCAAAAACCAAAAACTTCACTACATTTTCATGGGTTTGTGCTGTGGAGCTGTTAACGAAAGATTGTGTCCAAGTTCTGGAAATTCTGAGTGCCGCTGTGAAAAAGAACAAAAGTGCAAGTGTTAGCACCGAGCCACCCCGAGCGCCGCACAAACCGCAATTTTGTTGAAAATCTTTTACTTTCATTTCCAGGAATTTGATGCAGGCATTAAGCGTGACCAATGATTGGTTCGGTGCACGTCGATACAAGGGAAATAACAAGAGAATGTTTACGTGGCAAACCAATCACCCAAAGACCTCTATGATGGACAACAAGAGAATAACAAGGGAGTGGCGGACAATGGTGCGCTTCTTTCGCACCGTACGTAGCCAACCGCGCTAATCGGAGGTGCGCGGGAAAGGGACAGCAAACGAAACACAATAAGGAAGTTCGAAGCGAGAGAGGGAACACGCCTGAGACGTCCACCGTGGGCAAGATGGAACGATGAGACCAGGGGACAGATGTCTCTCATTTGCAGTGCCACGCCTGCCCGCAGCAGTCCGTACACTCGATTCCATCACTCCACTCGCAGGTCACAACTCAACAACGCATCTCTTTGCACTGGTATACAAAAACTAACTCACAACCCAAACTTGCATTTCAATTTGAATATTTTATGCAACTGGAGATGGTTTTTAAATATATTTTTTTTGTCATTGTTAAGATTCGAATGTTTACCTTGAGTTGGAGTTGCAATATGATGGGCGCTTTGCGTGGCTGATTTGTGCCAGTAAGGCGCCA